AAGTTCAAAATCAAACTTACCCTGTTTCTTAAGCTTGTTTCGGAAGCTTCGTTTCCTGCTGAATGCTGCCTCCTGCACCGAAAAAGAAAGCGCCACGAGTCAAAACTCAACCACTGAAGACAGTTGGAGGCATTGATTCAATAAAGGAATTGATAGCCTTAGTTTTGAGTGGTTATGTGGAGATCCCACATCGGTTAGGAGGAGAACGAGTACCAGCAAGGATGCTGGGCTATACCCATATCTGGTCTCCAACTTATAGCTCAGTTGAGTTATAAGGGTGTGAAAACCTTGAAGAGAAACTCGAAAGGGAAATCCCAAAGCGACAATATCTGTTAGTGGTGGACTTTGGTGGCTACAGGTTAGCAAGTGAAGTTGATTCTAGATTGATAGAGAAGGCAATATGGCTCTGGCTATATGGCTAAAGTTAAGTCGAATTGTGTCCCAGCTCGAAGTGTTAGAGGTAGAGAATGAGGATAGAGGAACTATTACCACAGGTTGAGACAAGTTTTCCGCACGTCGAATTGCTGCTACAAGATCGCGGTTAGCTTTAGTGTACATGCTAGTGACAAGTCCACATTGACCAGCTCTACCAGTTCTACCAATCCTATGTAGAAAATCTACAGCAGAAGTAGCGAAGTCTGCCTGAAAAGGAAGAACAGATATTCTTCAGTCCACCCCATTTTAGAAGTAAAGCCATTGGAACCAACATTCAAATGCTAATATTGGATCCATAGATGCTAGAGCCGTCTGCAGAAAGCATTTTATTAAAAGAGAAGCACCTGAATAACGTGGGCTACGTTTGGAATATCCACTCCTCTGGCAGCAGCATCAGTGCAAACAAGAACACCACCTTTCTCTCTGAAATCAGCCAAGATCTTTGACCGCTCCTCCAAACTGCGGTCTTTGTGGTAACGAAAACATTCTGTACCTGCCACCAACAATATATTGGCCACTGCTTCAACAGTTTCAACGGTGTTCGCAAACACCATTGTTCGAATTGCACCGTCATCGATATTCCTCAGTTGAGCTTTAGATTGATTCACAGCCTCGATAAGTTCATCTGCCTGGTTATCAACTGTCACTTCAACCCACCTCTGCTCCAATCTAAACTAGCAAACAGAGTGTCATTATTCAACTTAAGAAGTAATATGCAGCCAAATGCAAGAATGGCAAAAAGGAAACTGAGAGTGAAGTTTGCAAGAAGATAAGAACAAGTGCCTTTTGCTGAGGTCAAATTGTGAAACTAAAGGATACAAAAATTTTAACTGATGTTTGTGTGAAGTCAAAGCAAATAGCGTAAGCAGAAACCAAGATATTAACTTATAATCAGCTTTACAGTACAGAGGTGAGAATTTGCAGAAAATCAGATAGTAACCAATAGGCAACGTTCCATTCTAGAGATAAGGTTAAATTTTCCCCTGTTTTCATGAAAGAAAGTGATAGCATCTAGTTTCTTTGTGAGATCCCACATCGGTCGGAGAGGGAAACAAAACATTCCTTATGAAAGTGTGGAAATCTTTCCCTAGCAAACGCATTTTAAAACCGTGAGGCTGACGGTGATACGTAATGGGTCAAAGCAGACAATATCTACCAGCAATGGGCTTGAGCTGTTACATTTTTTATGTAAGACAAGGGTGGTACAAACCAAGGGAGATTCCAGAGCTCTCCATCTCTCTTTATCTCACCCACAAGAGATTATTCAAGAGGTCACTACAATGTGGCTGGTAATTTTGCAACCAGAAACTACAAAAGCGCCTAAAATTTATATACATATTTTCAAATCCACATCAAATGGTTGTTAGACAACCATATCGAATAACGTTTCCACTCATCGAGCAAATTACACGAGAATATCAAAGAATTGACCTATATAAAAACTCGGATAAAACGTAACTAAGCAACAAATATATTCTTCCCTTTCTGCTAACCTGTACACTAGCTTGGAAAAGACTTCTGATAGGGCCAAAACAAACTGGCACTATATCAAAGCATTACAAGCTACCCTAATGTTCAAGAGGTCTAATCTCTTCCCCTACTAACGATTATCTTCTTTATACTACACACTTTCTAGCTAACTCATTCTTTCAGCTAGTTAGCTTATACTTCTATCTTCTAACAGACCTAATCCTTAGTCTTGGTCAAACATATTCCTACCATTTTCCTCAAACACACTCTATTTGCTATCTCACCTTGCCTCCTTCCATGAGTATGTGAAGTGCACAGGAGGTTGAGCCTTATAATTATGTTAAATTTTTTATAGGAAAAGTGTATCTGAGAAAAAGGATCTGCTGGAGCGTAAGAAATTTCAATTTTCACATAGTTATGTCCCTTTGAAAGAAGCCCCTACTGAATTTCACAAGTGAATACGACCAACTCGAGCAGTACCTGGGACTGTGGCAGTGTAGATATTTCCCACTAACCCAACTAGCATCTGGGAACATTTTCCGCAGCACTGCACCAGCAGTCTTTTTTCCATTCACAGGAAGAGTTGCAGCAACAAAAATGTATTGTTTACTTCGCTCGTAACTTTTTTGTGCTCTTCTCCAGTCTTTAACTCTCCCAGATGAATATTCAGTTTTATCCTGTATGTTGTTAGAATCAACATCTTCATAACTTTCTTCCCCTTCCCCTTCTCCTTCCCCTTCAGAGATGGTTTCAGTTTCTATGTCACTCTCATCCTGTAAAGTAAGCTGGGATGACGGGTCAGCTTCTAATTCCATGAGCCTCTCTGGAGATTCTTTTGAGCGAGACAATAGCTTTTCTTCAAACCGGAGCAAATTTATAAGACGAATGACCTTATTCTGGAAGCTGCCAACAAGAAGCATATCTGCTTCATCAAAAACCTGCAGTAGTTTCAAATAGAACAAGTAAAATAAAAAATACATCATGGAGATAACATTATTTTAACACAAAAGGGGTGAAAAATACCACATGCTTCACAGCACAAAGAAACTTCATTCGTCGACTCCTGTTTGGTTCAATATAATTAAGTAGAGCTGCTGGTGTTGATACAATAATATCCGGCTTGTAAACTGGCCAACCCTGCAGTTAGAGTTCTTAGTCAAAGATAGAATCATATCGACATGGTTAAAGTCAACTATTATCTTGGACAACTTTTTTTACCTGTCTTCCACAAACAGCTGTAACTCTGAGAAGTGATTTTCCATGTTCATCGCAAAGGGTGTTGGCCATTTGAACCACTTGCTCACACAGCATTACATTTGGACATAGAACAAGAGAAAGCTTATTAATTGAAGCCAAGTCTTGGTCGCCGTCAGTCAACTTGTCATCACGTTGTTCATTGCATATCTTGTTAATTAGGGGCACTAGGTAACCATGTGTTTTACCACTACCAGTTTCGGCTGCAATGACCACATCGTTTCCCGACATTATAGAGGGAACACAAGCAGCCTTAAACGCAAACAAGAATGCATCAGAAGTGATAAAAAGGTAGAGAAATATAAAGGCATCAACCAAGAAAGATTAGAAGGGGTTGCAGAAACTTCCATTGACACGCTATCAAGACCACCGAAAGCAAAATATGTATCTAAGATATTACATCTTATGCTGAGGATTGTTGGGAGGGAGTCCCACATTGGCTAATTAAGGGAATATCATGGGTTTATAAGTAAGGAATACTATCTCGGATGGTATGAGGCCTTTTGAGAAAGCCAAAAGTAAAGTAATGAGAGCTTATTCTCAAAGAGAACAATATCATACCCTTAACTTATTCATGTCAATAGAATGCTCAAATGTTGAACAAAGAAGTAGTGAGCCTCAAAGGTGTAGTCAAAAGTGACTCAAGTGTCAAACAAAGGGTGTAATTTGTTCGAGAGCTCTAGAAAAAGGAATCGAGCCTCAACGAAGGAGAGGCTGTTCGAGGGCTCTATAAGCCTTAGAAGAGAATCTATGATGTACTTTGTTCAAGGGGAAGATTGTTGGGAGGGAGTCCTACATTGACTAGTTAAGGGAAAGATCATGTGTCTACAAGTAAGTAATATTATCTCAATGGTACGAGGCATTTAGGAAAAACCAAAAGCAAAACCATGAAAGTTTATGTTCAAAATGGACAATAACATATCATTGTGAAGAACGGTGGTTCCTAAGGCATTTTCTTTTTCATTTTATATGCTTCATTCTATGTTTTCAAGAAAACCATAGAAACCCAGTGAAGGGAGAACAAGAGGGAGAATATATTCCATCTTATCGAAACAAGTTCAATTCTTATACAAGCAAACATGGTTTTCACTCCCTAACTATTCTTAAGCACCAAAACACAGTCAGCTCCCAACTACTGGCTAGCCCCTTGCAATCCGAATACCAAGGCGAACCCACTACGCGAAAAGTTCTGTAATATTCTAATTTTCATGACAGGAAGATGTCCGTGTACCTGAATCAATGATGGCCTCTGGATTCCGGCACTAACAAGAGATCGAGAAACATTATCAGAGACACCAAGTGATGTCCAAGAAACACCTTCAGCCGCATAAAAAGTATCCCTTCCAATTCCATCAGCAGCAGGTGTTGCAGCAGAAGCAGCAACAGTTCCAACAGCCCTTGATTGCTTAGAGCAAGGTTGTCTCAAACAAACCAACCCAATTCGGATAGAACATGAACTAGGAACCAATAAGTTCGAATTTTTGAATGAGAAAAGCAGCTTAGACGATGACGCTAATCTCTCTAAATAGAGCGCAGAAGCAGAGCGATACAGAAGCATTGGCTCTGTAATGGATTGAGCCTGGAAAAACGCTAACCTGCTGCTGTCTGTATGGAGTCACTATTATCCCTATCTTTTCTGTTCTGTAAAATGCAATAAGAAAGAAAATTTAGTCCGAGGGTTTTAGGGTTTATGGTAAAATCTTTCTACAGCAATTATATTAAGAAAAAGGCCCACTTGTGAAATTGACGCACCAATAACCATCGCACTATTAGACACGTGTTCAATCAAAGGTCAACCATAGTCAAATACATATTTCATTAGACACAAGACCACAGTTTCCTCTCGTTCAGAAGAAGCTTCAATGGCGCCAAAAACTCTCTGAGGATCGCATGGAATGTTTTCAGGGACGATCGTCTTCTTAGACAAAAACGGCTTACAGGTCCGCATATTGCAGGCTTATCTTTCTCTGCAGCTTTGTATTTCAATGAATTAGGGCAATTTCTACACTATTTCAGAAGGTTCTCCTCGTACCAGTGGCTGGGAAGACGGCTTAAGTTCAGGGGAGAAGGCGTCAGAGGATTTGAACACTGTAAAATCAGGTTAGATGAAGATGGAAGAGACTAAGCCCCGACTGTGTATTTCCTAGAAACTGAAATTGTCTCCTTAACAATTCGGAAGCAGTAAGTTCTGAAAGGGTTGGAGATTCAAATGCTTCAAACTTACAAAGACTGCTACAGGTCTTGGGGACTTCAAATTAATAGCAATGTAAGTTTCTTTGATACCCAATTCATAGCTTGATGTTGGAATGTGTTTGTCTTGTATAAGTTGTGATCATGTTCTTCCTTAACTGGATCCCCAATTCAGATTTATATCTATAATGAAAAATTCCTACATTGCTCATCAGTTTATAAGCTATGCATGTTTCATTATAGACATGTGTCTTGATCGAGGAATTTCTTGAAAGTAACTCCTAGTTTTCTTTAGGCCGCTCGTATCAGAATTAGTACGTTCTAATTAGGTGAAAATTTTGCAGACATCTCTCATACAATCCACCAGATATGAATAAGAACATGCTGAGATTTTTGGAAAAGTTAACAACATATACAGAGGTAATAATGACATCCTCGAAACTATTTGCAATGGCCCAACAAAATATAGTGTTGGTTAAGGAGAAGTTTTCACGCCCTTAAAAATAATGTTTTGTTCTCCCCAACCGATGTGAGAGCTCCCGATACTTCATTGTTCTGTTTCTGTCACTTTAGCTTGTCTTCTTTATATTTTAAGCATTGTGTTACGAAGAAAGGTCATTTAGCTCTTACAAGGCAATTCCAGTCATTGAGAAGCTACCTTTTAAAATGAGAGCATTGATCAGGTCAAACACCTGGCAGCCATAGGAAAGTGATTGGAGGATCATGTGAATGAAACGACTTTAGTTCACTCCAGTTGGCTCTGTATTTTGGGTGGAATATGGTAATCTTTGTACTTATATAGTATGTTGCCTCATAAATGACCTGCTATCAATTTTGTTGTTCATAATATCATTTCCCATTGAAGCACTTGATAGGACTGGCCAATATTAGCTACTGTAAGATTGAACCACTGTCCTGCGATTTGACTGTACATTTCTGATTTGATCCATCTTCTTTATAGTTCCTTGAGAGTCATTTTCTCTGCGATTCCAGCCATAGAGGTTTTCTACCAAGATATGTATAGCATTTCAAGGATATGAAGTTTTCAAGGGAGGATCTGATATTCAGTCATAGAGGTTTTCTACCAAGATAGTCCTTTCATTTCTAATCTGTTCTTTCTTTGGCCACTTCATATGTAGAAAAGAATGGTACATTGAGCTAGATAAAATAGAGCCAAATTCATGTTCAGTTAAGAACTGAAGTGGACGGTAATAGGAAATCATGTCTGCTATGAAAATATATCTGGAACTTCAGTTGAGCTGAGTGAATGAAAATTGTTAGGTTCATTCTTATTCTTTGGTGTCTTAACATGGCTGTGTCTTCATTCTGATATTTCGTGTATCGTGATTTCTCGGACATTTGTTTCTCTTAGCTGAAATTAGTAACGTCTTTCCTAAGTCAATAAAGATTTTGTGGAGTAGTTGGTTATCACGTTAATCGAACAAACTAAAGGTGGGGCGGTCAGTCTTACGCACTGAAGGTGGGGTAGTCATTTCTTAGAGTCTAGCTGTAATTAGAGACGTCTGGTTCAAAGTAGCTATGGTGTTGTGGTGTAGTTGGTTATCACGTCAGTCTAGCATATTGAAGATCTCTAGTTCAAGTTTGAGCGACGCCAAATTATTTTTTATTATTTGTTTGTATATTTTTTTGCTCGTGGGTGGTCATTTTTTAGAAACTAGTTGTAATTAGGGACGTCTTTGCCAAACCAGTAAAGGTGTTGTGGTGTAGTTGGTTACCACGTCAGTCTAACACACCGAAGGTCTCCAATTCAAGTTTGGGCGATGCCAAATTAATTAGTTTTTATTATTATATATTATTTGTTTGTATATTTTTTTTTTTTGCTAGTGGGTTGTCATGTTTTAGAAACTAGTTGTAATTAGGGACGTCTTTGCCAAACCAGTGAAGGTGTTGTGGTGTAGTTGGTTATCACGTTAGTCTAACACACTAAAGGTCTTCAGTTCAAGTCTGGGCAACGCCAAATTAATTTTTATTATATATTATTTTGTTTGTATTTTTTTTTTTGCTCGTGGGTTGTCATGTTTTATAAACTAGTTGTAATTAGGGACGTCTTTGCCAAACCAGTGAAGGTGTTGTGGTGTAGTTGGTTATCACGCTAACACACTGAAGGTCTCCAGTTCAAGTCTGGGTGATGCCAAATTAATTTTTATTGTTTGTGGGTTGTCATGTTTTAGAAACTAGTTGTAATTAGGGATATCTTTGCCAAACCAGTGAAGGTGTCGTGGTGTAGTTGGTTATCACGTCAGTCTAACACACTGAAGGTCTCCAGTTCAAGTCTGGGCGACGCCAAATTAATTTTTATTATATATTATTTTGTTTGTATTTTTTTTTTGCTCGTGGGTTGCCATGTTTTAGAAACTAGCTGTAATTAGGGGCGTCTTTGCCAAACCAGTGAAGGTGTTGTGGTGTAGTTGGTTATCACGTCAGTCTAACACACTGAAGGTTTCAGTCTCCAGTTCAAGTCTGGGCGATGCCAAATTAATTTTTATTATATATTATTTTGTTTGTGGGTTGTCATGTTTTAGAAACTAGTTGTAATTAGGGATGTCTTTGCCAAACTAGTGAAGGTGTCGTGGTGTAGTTGGTTATCACGTTAGTCTAACACACTAAAGGTCTCCTGTTCAAGTCTGGGCGACGCCAAATTAATTTTTATTATATATTATTTTGTTTGTATTTTTTTTTTTTTTCTTGTGGGTTGTCATGTTTTATAAACTAGTTGTAATTAGGGATGTCTTTGCCAAACCAGTGAAGGTGTCGTGGTGTAGTTGGTTATCACGTCAGTCTAACACATTGAAGGTCTCCAGTTCAAGTCTGGGCGACGCCAAATTAATTTTTATTATATATTATTTTGTTTGTATTTTTTTTTTTTTTGCTCGTGGGTTGCCATGTTTTAGAAACTAGCTGTAATTAGGGACGTCTTTGCCAAACCAGTGAAGGTGTAGTGGTGTAGTTGGTTATTTAAGTCTTGGCGACGCCAAATTAATTATTATTATTATATATTATTTGTTTGTATATTTTTTTGCTCATGGGTTGTCATGTTTTAGAAACTGGCTGTAATTATGGACGTCTTTGCCAAACTAGTGAAGGTTTTGTGGTTTAGTTGGTTATCACGTCAGTCTAACACAATGAAAGTCTCCAGTTCAAGTTTGGACGACGCTAAATTAAATTTTATTATTATGTATTATTTGTTTGTATATTTTTTTGCTCGTGGGTTGTCATGTTTTAGAAACTAGCTGTAATTAGGAACGTCTTTGCCAAACTAGTGAAGGTGTCGTGGTGTAGTTGGTTATCACATTAGTCTAACACACTGAATGTCTTCAGTTCAAGTCTGGGTGATGCCAAATTAATTTTTATTTATTATATATTATTTGTTTGTATATTTTTTTGTTCGGGGGTTATCATGTTTTAGAAACATTATTTTCTCTTAATTAAAGTAGATTAATTAAAGTAGATTAATTAAAGTAGATCAAGACCCATGTAATAAACCCTTGTAGGCATATCCAAGAGACACATGCATTTGAATTATTAGCATGGACTGAAAACGGCGTACTAAATAGGAGGTATGCTGGTCTGTAGCTAAATTCATCTATACATTTGAAATAGTTTTCAACTTTGCTTTGGTTTTGACTGATAGTAATGTTTGTTCGTGTGACAATCCATGAAAGGAAAATGATAAAGTTTTGTTCGTAGTATAAAAATTACAACAAATTATCTTAAAATTCATTTTATATAGTTTACCAATGTTTCTAGACTATAAAATTAATTTAAAAATTATAAATTTAGTCTTTGAAGTAAAAAAATAAAATTTATCAATTAATTTTAAAAATATGAATTTGTCATGATCTATTAAATATAATTAAAATAAAATAAAAAATAGACATAAAATTTAAAATTTAAATAATAAATTTATAGTGACGTAATTTCTGAGGTGGCACCCACGTAGACTGGTGGGTGTATCCCAAAATTTGTGGGGTGCGAAGAGAAGATGCGTTGATAAACCCTTGCTCGCGCTTCTGCTAAACCCGGTGAGAAGATAAAGATGGCATGGACTACTGTTCCAGCTTTCCATCTCCTCCCTCCTCTCTTTGCGCTTCATAAACCTACCGCTCCGCCGTGCTTCTTCTCCAATCCTTCAAGTGCTCTGCAACACACACGCCTCTCGCCCACTCTCAGGCTTCCATTTCAACCCTCCTCCTCCTTCGGAAACCAGATTTGCAGGGCCGCCGAATACAAATTTCCCGACCCAATTCCTGAATTCGCCATCGCTGTAAGCTCCCCTCCTTCTGGGAGTTCGTGTAAATGGATGATTTCGAAATGTCTTGAAATAGTTTCTTTTCTGTTCAGGAGACCGAGAAGTTCAGGGCTCATTTGCTTACCAAACTTTCTAAGAAAGATATTTACGGGGATTCGGTTCAAGAGGTCGTCGGAGTATGCACTGAGGTATGGACGCTGACATCCTCTGATTGAACATAATAGCTCAACAACTGCATGTCTTTACCTATGTTATGGCCTTCCAACTAAACAGATATTCAACACCTTTATGCATACCGAGTATGGCGGCCCTGGGACCTTGTTGGTTCTACCTTTCATTGACATGTCTGATACAATCAACGAACGAGGATTACCTGGAGGACCTCAAGCTGCCCGTGCTGCAGTCAAATGGGCTCAAGAGCATGTTGATAAAGACTGGAACCTGTGGACTGGTGACGATGGCACCTAACAAAAGTCCCCCTCAAGAATATATTTTGTTGCTTTCTTCTGAATCTTTATCAAAGGGATTGTTCATATATGAGCTGAATTTGTTTTTGTATGAACTATCAGAGATCTCTAGAATGACGAGGATAGAACTTAGATAAAGCAAACAGAATCCATTAGCTGTCATGCTGAACAAAATTTGCATCAGTGTATTTCTATATGGCTTGAGCAATCTTAGAGATATAAAACATTTGATGTCTTTATGAACAATCTAAATTGTTTTAGCTGTACGGTAAGATGAGTGCTGTTACTTTAAGTGAATTGTGGATGTTGATGCTTCTTGTCTAAAACTGATCATTACAATACTCGCCATCAAACTAGTGCTTACAGGTGGAGTTTTTTTTACCTAAACGGTTAGTTCTGAAGTACATTCATATCAGGTTCTTTAGTCCAAAAGGAGGGTAATGACTAAAATTTACAATTTCCATGTCCATAAAAATGTAATGCACATACTTCCTTACCGATGACGTTGATCGAGCAGTTCCTCCCTATCAATGAAACGCTCGAGAAGCTCTTCCTCTTGCAAAACCAAGCAGTCTTCGGCTTTTCCAAACAAGTCGTAGCGATGTTTGGCAACAATGTCATAGATAGCATCTCTAAGAGGAGTTGGGATTATCAAGAATGCGCTCAAAGCTGAGTAGGGGAGAGGCAAATAGGACAATACCTTCAGAGCAGCTGCAAAATTACACAATTTGCTCAAATGGGATTACATTCCTACTGATTAAGAAGGGAACAATATACATTTTGACAGAAGTTTTGTAACACTAGTAGTAATAAGCCGATCTACACAAAAATAGAGAAAATGAATCTCCTTTCTAAAATGCTACATTAACTGTAGCAATGAATCTCGAGTGTTATGTGGGAATTTAGAGTTTTGATAAGAAAGGCATTTAATGGGAAAAATCATACAGAAGGGTAAATGAAGCACCGAGTTACACATGCACACCAATTATAGAATACAGGGAAAGATCGAAGTTATCACAGGGATATTTTAACTGCTCTTGGTCAAGAAGGATAAGTACCGGTAGAAGCTTGGTAGTATGAACCATGGCCCTCAATGAACACAAAGCGACGGTAAACATCCTCTCTGTCTAGACCACTCAGTCTCAAGTATGGTTCAGCAGCTTTGGACTGAAAGCAGCAAAATTTGATCTTCTTATATTTGTCCGCCTTTATAACCCACTTCACACCTGCAAATTTATCGATAAACAGAACAAAGATAGAAACATAACTATGGAGGGATAGATACAGAATGTTATGGAAGTGAAATATTAGGATGCAGCCTCTAAGAATTTGAGCATATACTGGAAGTCTGGAAGTGAAATGACCTAGAAACACGATGTAGGACTAAAAGTCATGGAACCCGTAATCCCACCTGGATAAAACTTTCAATTATCACTTTGGAGTACAATAGAATTTATCAGGTTACCAAATTATACAGATGATAAAGGCTCTAAAATCAGTGTTGGAACAGGAGGGTTTCAATTAATAGCGGCGAAGATTTGTTTCCTTCTTTCTCTCACAAATAATTATACATACCAGACCAAAAAGGGGGAATTAAAAGTCAGGATTCCTTTCACAGATTCACAGGTTCTAAGAGCCATCAAACTCCTCCAAAAGTTGGGCGGTACCAATGTCGAACAGTTCATAGAGTTAAAGGCAAGGTAAGAAAATTCAAACCGCCGCCAAAAAACATAAACAAAAACAGGAAAAAGAACGGAAAACATGTCACAAGATTAAGGGATAAAAGAAAAACCTAGAAGGCGGAGTGGCTTTAAATATTAAGTATACAAGAAAATGACAATCTGATTATGCGCATTCTTTAGTTCTTTGAATGAAATTACAGGGGTAGCAATGGCACATTCTCGTGAAACAGAGGAAACAGAATGAAACTGTAAACTGAGCGTTTTAAAGAGGGAGAGAAAAGAGATCGAACCGCGGTGGCAGAGATGGCAGACACCGTCATAGACAACAACGCGAGGCTGGAGAAGAGAAGGAAACACAAGCTCGACAGCCGAAGAATTCGCAGCGGCAGGAGAGACAGTGTCGAATAATTCCTCAACAACTTCTTCAGGAACATCGGCAATATCCGGAGGCGCAGCAGTAGAGCAATCGATGCCAGAAGAAGACGGTGACGATGATGAAAATTTAGAAAAAAATATGCATCGAAATGGGGAAGAAGAAGATGTAATAGTAAAGGAGGTGGCTCTGGTTGTCCCTGTTGATGTGAAGAATAGGTGCCGAAACCGATTCGCAAGAAGTTTGGTCGTCATTTTGGATCGATCACCACCAGCGGTTTTCACTGTTTCTGAACATTTCGGAAATGGAACGAGAGGTTTCGATTCCGAACTGCCTTCTTCCTTCAGTCGCAAGCAGCCCATGGGCCTCGGTAAGTGGACAGCCCAAAACATTAAAAATAGAAATTTAAAAACGCTAGAGGAAGGGGTTGAACCTTCGACCTTGTGGTTAACAGCCACACGCTCTAACCAACTGAGCTACTCCAGCGGATGACGTATCAGTCGAGTCCGAGTAATGTCGAATTAATTTTTGGGTGTCATTTCTTGAAAACTAACTTAAATTAGGGATATCTTTTCCAAGCAAATGAAGGTGCTATGGTGTTCATGAGTCTATTCATTATTTGTTTGTATATTTTTTTCTCGTGGGGTTCATTTTTTCTATTCATTATTTGTTTGTATATTTTTTTTCTCGTGGGTGGTCATTTCTTAAAAACTAGCTGAATTGAGCAACGTAGTTTCCAAGCCAATAAAAGTGTTGTAGTGTGGTTGGTTATCACGTCAGTCTAAAACACTAAAAGATCTTTAGTTCAAGTCTGAATGATGCCATGTTTATTATTTGTTTGTATATTTTTTCCCTCGTGCTATAACAAGTCATGACTATTTACAAATATAATAGTAACAATTTTAGGTTATAAACATATACATGGGGAATAAATTTGACGTTGAAAATGGGTTGAATTGAAAGAGAGAAATAATGAAGAGATTGGGAAGCCCCACATAAAATGAACAATCTTATCTTGAAGGAGAATGTGTGGGTGGCAAATAATACAAGTTTTGAATCAAACTCATTTCGCATTTTAAATTATGCATCACCAATATCACCTTTCATCCTATGGCTAGGGGATATTTTTCATCAATAATGCCATCCCGCACCATACAAATACAAATAACAAACTTTTTTAAAGTTTGATTTGGTGTTGATATAATAATATCTCAATCTAAATTTTTCAATAAAATTTTAAATTATGAATAGATTGTATTATAGAGTTATAGTGTTTTATTAACGTATTTTAAAGATACATTTACATAGTAACTAATTATAATCCTAAAGTATAAATGTGTATAAATGAGATGCATGGGAGACATGTTTGTTGGGGGATCCTGTGGTTTGAGGAATTTTGAGATGCCAACCCATTTGGTTCATCACTACTCATGTAATGTCCAAAGGGACGAATACAGCAACCAAAAGCATATCAGGACACCCCCTTCAACTTGCTCCTCCCCTCGATTTTCTCCCAACCCTCACGTTTGTACACTATTTGTCAGATTCCATATTAATTGAAAAGAAAAAAATGAAACATTTTTTATAAGGGTGTAGAAACTTATCTTTTAGTATACACGTTTTTAAATCATAAAGCTAATGATAATTGGTAACGGGCCAAAGTGAACAATATTTAATAGTGGTGGACTCTTATAAATGATATTAGAGTCAGGTATTGAGCTGTGTGCCAATGAGGACGTTGGGTCCCTAAAAATGACAGATTTTAAGATCACACATCGGTTGATAAAACGCTGGACTGTTACACTACTATTACTCATTTCCTTTTGACTTTTCCCCCTTCACTGTGTAAGCCATATTTGTTCATTCTAAAAAATTGTCAACTCTCTAAAATGCCCTCAGAGTTAAATGAAATTTACACCCAAACACAAACACATTTACGTGCCACTATAGATCTATCCTAATTTATAACGAAACACCTAATTTTAATGATTGCTAATCATTTCAATCATTTAAAAAAATGCATAACATGTTTTATTTTTGTTCAACACAATACAGCTATTTAGTTCTTCTTAATATGTGTTTCACACGTGGATATTTAGAAAGGGAGTTCTAATTTAAGTATTTAATTGGAATAATAAAACCAATTAAAATCATATTTGTAAGAGGTTAATTATGATATAATATTATAGCTCATGATTCAAAAAAAAAAAAAAAAACAAAGGTAAACGGAATTTAATTGACGTGGCGCTATATTATTGGGGGCTGGATTGGAATTTGGAACTGTCCTCCATTGCACAAACATTCTTGTCAATAAACGGAACCCGTTTTTCGGGGTAAAATGTTTCCCGCACTTTTTATTTTATTTTATTTTATTTTTATTAAAATTAAATATAAAATATTATATTTAAATTAAGAAAAAGAAAAAGAAAATAAATAGCAGTCGCTATTAAATTGACATCATATATATGCAGACAAAGCGGTGCAAGCTTCCAAGCCCCAACTTCAACCAAAACCACTTTTTCAGTTTTTCTTTACGTCACACCGGCGTTAAGTATTCCGTCTAACTTCTCCTATCTCTTCTCAGCTACTTTTGAATCTCTATCGTCGGCAAGATGGCAACAGAATGAGGAGTCGGAAGAGGCCATCATGTCCGTATCGATTTCCAACTGCTTCTCTAATTTAATCTGCCAGGAGGATTCCTCCGGCGTCTTGTCCGGCGAGTCGCCGGGGTGTTCTTCCGACTTCGATTCGACGGCCTGCGTTGAGGAATCTATCGCCGTCTTCATCAAGGACGAGCGTCGCTTCGTCCCTGATTACGACTGTTTGTCACGCTTCCAATCTCCATCGCTGGATGCGGCCGCTAGACTAGACTCTGTTGCATGGATTCTTAAGGTAAGAATTTTTCCTGTACTTCTCCTATTCTTTTCACCGTCATTTATTACCAAAATGCCACTCTTCACGTGACGAATATTGCGGTTGAATTATCACACCAGAATTCGTCGGCGATCACTGATACTCAGTCAGATCCGAGTCGATCGAATCGGAGTCCGTATCAGTGGCCGTCGACGAATCCGTTTGATATATTAACCATGTAGTACAGTTAACTTTTATATTTATCTCCGTCTCTGCCGCATACGGCGGTTATTAACGCGATTATACCTTTTGCAGGTTCAAACCTATTACGGTTTTCAGCCTTTGACAGCGTATCTCTCTGTCAACTACTTAGATCGCTTCCTTTGTTCACGCCGTTTGCCGGTGAGATTCTTTAGAGAGAAAATAATTATTTGTGTGAATTATTTTGAAGATTCAAGATGTTCGTGGAGGGATGCTAGTGATCGTCATTTTTTTTTTTTTGTTACATTTAATGGGAGTAATTATATGTGACTTATTCAAACCATGAAAAGGACTAGACTGTAGCAATACTGAGCATGAAACGTATTATTTAATATCTTATTTATTTATTTTTTCTGTACTCAGAATAAGACTGCATTAATTTGTTTTCGAAATAAAATATCTAACTATCTAAAAATATGTGTGTGTTTGTGTACGTTAACTTTTTGGGAATTGGGGAAATAGTTAATCGAATAATAAGTAAATTATGAGTAAAGATCATCGTGCACTTCACTCTGTTAAAGGATTGCTGAAGTTTTGAAAGTATGATTTGATATTCATTATGCCTTTTACAAGCTTTTGTTTCTTCTGTCACGGCACATGCAATGTGCGTGCACAGTGCCGGCAAAGAAACGGATAGGATGAACTAATTTGATATGACAAAATCACCAATGAACTCTCACCTAAAATAGCGGTGGCATTTATTGTTTGCTTATCTCTACTTAATGACGATGTTGATTCATTGGGATATGGAATGATTAGCGCCTAATGGTTGGTTAAATTTTCTATTCTTTGTATTGTTTTCAGCAAACAAATGGGTGGCCATTGCAACTCCTCTCTGTTGCTTGCCTGTCACTGGCTGCTAAAATGGAGGAACCTCTTGTTCCCCCTTTACTAGATCTTCAGGTTGGTTTAGTTGGACATATATTATTCCTTCTCTTTGTGGAGAATGGGTAATGTTGGCGTTTTTTTCTTCTTTCTTGGTGGATTATAATGGATTGTTTTCTTTTTCCTTTTCAGGTTGAGGCTAAATATATATTTGAACCCAGAACAATATGCAGGATGGAGTTGTTGGTGCTGAGGGTATTGGATTGGCGGCTGCGTTCAGTAACGCCGTTCAATTTCATAGCATTCTTTGCTTGCAAGCTCGACCCATCGGGAGATTTCATCGGGTTTCTTATTTCAAGAGCAACAGAAATTATAGTATCGAATATCCGAGGTAAAAAAGAAAACTAAACTGGGCTCTTTTTTAGACATGGATTATAAATATGGGACTTGAAAGTGAAATCAAAGTTGTGTATCTGGTCCACAGAGGTAATCTTTCTGGATAACTGGCCATCGTGTATTGCGGCAGCCGCCTTGCTTTGTGCAGCAAATGAAGTCCCGGGTTTGTCTGTTGTCAATCCAGAACATGCTGAATCATGGTGCAGCGGCCTGAGGAAAGTAAGTGCCAGATTGTGATTATGTTGGGCATGTGTGTTATATACTAAAAAAATATATCCTCATTCGAATATATTAGCAGGAAAATATCACCGGCTGCTACCGGTTAATGCAAGAGATTGTTCTTGTTAGTAGCCGGAGCAAGTCCCCCAAAATCCTACCCGGCCAGTTTAGAGTGACTGTCCGCACTAGGATGACATCCAGCGACTTATCCTCCTACTCCTCCTCTTCCTCATCTTCGTCATCACCAAACAAAAGGAGAAAATTAAACCAGAGCAGCGTCTGGATAGATGATGACAAAGGTAACACCGAAGAATGAGAGGTAGCCGAACTTTGTCTAAAAGAAAAAAAAAAAAAAAAGTAGAATCCTCAATATTTTTTGGGAGGGTTTAGATATTGAGTTAACATAACTAGAGTGGTGCGTGGTGCGTGGTGCGTGGTGCGTGTTAATTATAGTATGTAGTGTATGAAATCTCAGAGTTCGGGTGAGCTGGGAGATTTCAATAATTTATTTATTTATGATCTTGTTGGTGGGAAATTGCCATTCATTAATGGCTTTGCAGATTCCCAATGGGGGGAAACTAAAGGAAAGGGGTTTGTTTGATTTTGAGGGAAATGGCGGAGTGTTGAATAAGTGGAGGAGTCCACATGGAGAGAGTGGAACAGAAAAGTTTGATTAATTTTCCCATCTCCAACAACTATATTTTGCTCCCTATTGGATGGGCAGTAAATAAATTGAGTGGTTGTTTATGCACATGCTTTTTGGTGCGTGGCATGCTCTTGGGTGTCAGTGTGTACTGTACGAGTGGACTGCCCGCCCCTTCGGCTGGAGGAAGTGCCTCTTCTTTTTCATTGGACTTGAGCCAATCGGCCTGGCCCTTCTGAGTTCTGTGAGTTTATCTTCTCACTTTCTATTTATTTATTTTTCAAAGCCTGCGTTAGATGAAGGGAAAGAATCCCAAGTAGTATACAAAAAGGTCTTTGGGGCCTTTGATTGCTTGTATTTGTTTCAATCAATGTGATTAATTTTCATTCATTTCCCTCTCTCTCTCTTACTCTGTTCATCGCATGTGATTGACAATCAATATTTTGTAGTTTTGTGAATGGGATTTTCTTCTCCGCATCATAGTGTTTATGTATTATATGGGAATGAACTCTCTCAACCAGCTGGCTGGCCCTTAAGATCAACTGTTCTCAATTTTAGGACTAAAAGTGTATATTATCTTAACAACTTATGTGGTGATTGGAAAGTTCAGTAGTGAACCAGAATTGGGAGGGCAACCAAAAAAATAAAAAAAAAAACAGTAGAAATTGTCATATAGCCCTTAGATTCCCGACATAACAGGTATTATTGTGCATAACTATGGCCCCTTTACTTATCGATTGCAAAAATCCAGCCAGGCGTTTATCACTTTCTTGTTGATTCCACCACCCAAATTTAGGCACTCTCTTCCCTTCTTGTACCCCTTATCTTCTTTTTAATTGTAATTTGTAAGAATACATAGCGACAATTATTACTCAACAATATTACATGGTCATCCTCCAGGACCATCAGGTTGGTTACGTATTTGAATAGTTTATTTCGTCTCAATTTAACACCTTTCTTTTTATAGGCCTAGAAAGTAAAATCTATAAATATTTATTTTTTGATTCTTCTAGAAAAATTAGATTTTGGGGTAGCTTTTCTAGTCCATGATGGGTTTCATTCGTGTATAAGTCTTGAACGTTTCTACAACTACTTTGCAAATCTTCTCAAAATAATATTTATTAGTTAGTGTCTTGGATTTATATTTTAATTAATTGGAAAAGTTATGAACAAATTATTGAATTAAAAAATAATATATTTGAATTAAACTTTGTTTTGTTTTGAAAAATTGTTTATAATTATAATAAAATATGTTATTAATTTATTTAGTTAATCCTCGTCTCTACCAATTATGGATGATATCTGAGGAAACACAGAAGTGATATGGAATTCTAAATTATTGAATTTATATTGGATGATATCAGCATCCAATCCACATTAATTAATTAAAAAAAAAGGTTGATACATTTACTAAATATTGTGGATCTCCGTAAACAAAGCTCTTGTATCATCCGATGGTTGCGATTGAATTACCATTAATTTGAGAACGACTTCGCAAATGAATTAAATGAAATACATTAGAAGATGGGTTCCACTAGAATTTGGAGTATCCCCAACGCCAATTAGAGCCACGCCACCCGTCTTCTCCACCAAGAAGGCAGGCATTAAAGTATATGTGGGCCAAAGACCAGAAGCTAAATGATCATCTACTAATTAGTATTATCCGGCCGAAGCCACCCCTAGAGTCTTTGTAAAGGTACGAACATACAATAATCTCCTCTACACCAATTGGGTTCTGAATTGATTGGGGGAAAAAGGGAAAAGAAATAAGAAAAAAGAGAGATACGACTCGGAGAAAGATGATTAATGAAAAATCGATTTTGAAATATCTGTTCATGCAATTATGAGTTTGATTTTGTTGTGTTTGATTGGTCCAAGTGGGCAGAATCCAGCGAATATTTCCATTAACTCAGGCTGCTGCATAAACAGAGATGGTCACAACATGTTTGATAAAATGCCTGAATGATGGAGGAACAGAGGAACAGGGAAGGGAAGCCTAGTTTTAAGCTAATTGGAGATGGCACAAGGTAAAAATCATCCTAAGTTTATATTTAGAGTGGATAATATCATACGATTATAAAGTCGTTTGATGGATAAAAAGAGTGAAAAGTTTATACCTATGAGTTTTGGATTTGATCACCCATATTGCTTTCCACACCATCATACCTCATCATTAATCCCAAGTAGTAATATAGTATAGAGCAAAGTTTGGGAAATCTATAAATATATGTATATTTATCATTTTGTGCAGCTAGTGCCCCATTATTTATATATATATACCAATAAAGTTCTTGACTTGGGATCAATTCTTTTTTGATAGTGTAGTAGAAGAGTTGATTCAAAGAAAGAACGAAAGGTATTGAGTTATCGATTCTTTTTTAATTTTTCCTTAAAGTTTTTAAAATGTATTTGGTAAGGAGAGGTTAACTTTAACTCTCCAATCGATGTGAGATCTCACAATCCACCTCTCTTAGAAGCCAGCATCCTCACTCCCACTTATTTCCCTCTCCAATCAACATGGAATCTCACAATCTAAGGAGTCTAGCGTCCTAGTTTGCACTTGTTCATCTCTCCAATCGACGTGGCGTGGTATATGTGTGAATATTGGGTGGGTTTAAAATTTTGGAGGTTTGAGTGGGTGGGGGTGCCCAAATGTGTAGTACTTGGAGCAAAATAGCTTTGCTTTTGTTCTTCAATTGAACAAGGAATGTGGGTTTCTCTGCAGAAATATAAAACTTATAGGCCCCTTTTGCCTTTTTGAAGTAAATGGCTAAAAAGCTTCAAATGATTCCGAAAATTCCTCAGATATGCCTCCAGATTTTTTCCTTTTTTCTTTGAAGTATAATTATATGTGTGTGTGTGTGTGTGCGCCCGCGCTGAATGCAATACAGCACAGCTCTCAACACCATTGGGCTCCCCTTTGGTCACTTCCACTGTTACCATCAAACATCAATCTTCACTGCTAAACAACAAACAAACAAAAGCAAAAGCAAAAGTAAGACCCGAAAACGACTGTTTCATGTTCACTTACAAAAAGAGAATGTCACATTATTTACTTTTCTTCCCTTCAAAGACACTCCCTTTAATATATTTTCTTAACAAAAATGAAAAATTCAGAGTAGAAAAGTAACCAAAGAACAAAACAGATATCAAACGATACGACACGACAAGTAAAAAAACATAGTGGGTATCATTTAATTTTTTCGAGGGAGCGTCTGCGAGTATCATTTAGCTTTTTTTTTTTTTTAAGCTTGTCGTGGACATAAAAAAAAGGGTCTTTATAATCATCACATTTATCTTCCTTGCTTTCATCATCATCATCTCCATTTCTCTTGTTTTCTTAATATAATTATTTTTTTTTTGCTTTTTTTTTTTTAAAAAAATAATTTTCAATTAAATTAAATTATGAAAAAATCTTAGGAGACGGCTAATTTGGAATTTGGGCTGAATTTGACCCATCTGCCTTTGAACATGGACTTGGGTAGTTAAGTGGGCTTAAGGCCCAAGATTAATTAATGGACTCTCTATGGGCTTTTCGAATTGACGCCGCGCGAAATTAGGGATTAGCTTAGGGGGTGGGATAACCCCATCCAATGGCGTCCTACAGTTGCGTTCTGGTTTCGGCCATTGCAGTTTCTCCTGCCAAGACTACATGCTTCAACGGACTTAATTATCCAACATTTTCCCCTTCTTCTTCCCTTGGAAAGCCCTTTGTTAATTGTACCTTAACTTCTTCCATCATATACAGAGCAACTCCGGCCACGGCCAGCTGTGTTTACCATGATCCGATACCGGAATTTGCTGAAGTTGTAAGTTTCTTGCGACGTAGCTCCTTTGTTTGCTTAAATTGATTCCGGTTTTGTGTTATGTGATCGCGTTGATTAATTCATTTGGTTGTTTTTCGCAGGAAACCAGGAAATTTAAGGAGCAGTTATCGAAGAAGCTAGCGAAGGATCGCGAGACATTTGGGAACGACCTGGATTCGGTTGTGGAGGTTTGCTCAAAGGTAATCATTGTTATAGAAGTAAGAGGTTGTAATTTTCTAGTTTGAATCCCTGATTTCGGTTGAAGAATGTGTCTGAATCAGATGAGGCGATTGTTTGCTTAGAGAGTTAGTTTAGTTTAATCGTGCTTTTGCCTTCAAGTGTTTCCATGGTTTGAGATGAATAATTGGAGACCTGAGGAAGCATCAGACCTGCCTATAGAGCTACAGAACGATCACTATTTCCAAGACAGCTTCATTAATTGCGTAAAATTGTTCTGAATGTTTGACCTATGCTGCCATTATTGATATTCTTCTTGCATTTTGATTTTTTCAAATCAGAACTGAACGAATATTCCAATTTGAATTCAGATGTCCGAATTTATGTGAGCTTAATATGAATGTACTTTGCAAGTTTTGAGCAGATATTTAGTGAATATTTGCATGTGGAGTACGGAGGTCCTGGGACATTATTAGTGGAGCCTTTCACTAATATGTTTATTGCTCTAAACGAGAGGAAATTACCTGGAGCGCCTTTGGCCACAAGAACTTCGCTTCTATGGGCTCAAAACTATCTAGATCACGATTGGAACATTTGGATCTCAAAACGAGGGCTCAAATGATTTGCTACTTGTTGTTACATTTGTGAAGATTGGGTATTTGAATCTAGATTCTGTTATGTTTTTTTCTCATGAGTTGAAGATGGAGGAACAAATATTTGTATCAACACAAAATTACTCCAATACATTGTCAATTTCATTGATTTGATATCTTTGTTGCTATACAAATGCCTTATTTCTTGCAGTACATGAATCGTTCTGGGGCTCTAGTTTCACACTGAATTGGAAACTTGGATGCCCATTTTCAAGCTCTCTCTGAATCCTCTGCCATTGCAACGAGCATCTTAAATCAAACTCCTCTATTCTGCCGTATGAACCACGCTTGTGCTTGTTATGATGAAAAAAGTATGACACATGAATCAGGCGGCAGCTTCAGAGATGCTCTGCAATGATGGTCTCCAAGCCTTTGACCTCGCCGCAGTGGCATTTGCTGCTGGTGTTCGAATTCGGTGTCTTTCATGTTTGACTGCCTGCAATGTTTTTTGTTTTTTTAGAGATTATTGGTATGATTTTATCTCGGAAAATGATTCCCAATCACAATCATGTTTGACTTTTTCACTTTCTGTTGCAGTGATCGATTCTGATTCCAAAGGAAACAATTGAGTTTACCTGCTGGTTCTTTTCCGTCTCTTCTACTTCACCGCCGGCAGTCCGATTCTCCTCCGACTCCATCAATTGCTTCTTGGATTTTGCATACTTTTTAGCCCGCAACACCTTCATAACCTCTGGAGGTTCCAAACAAAACGTCGGTAAGAGCTAAACTTACTACTAAACAGAGAAGGAATAGAAAAGCTGTATCATACCCTGAGTGGTGACGAGCCGATAGGCATGGCCAAGAGCAAGAGTGTCGTTTGGCCGGAGAAGCTTAACACGAGTAAAACGCACCGTTTTGGGCTCCGGATTGTCATCCTCAGATTGAGGTAAGGGAATTATAAGAGAAACATAGTGACCCGGATTAGTTCTCATGACCTCGCTAGCCACCACCGGCCAATACAGCCTCTCAATCCGGCCACTTGGGTGCTGTATTACCAGAGCCGCCGCATCAACCGCCTGGCAATTCCCCATCTGAACTCTGTGATGGTAGATTGAAAGAAGACGAGGAAGAGGAGGAAAGGAAGAAGAAGAATGATGATAAATAGGAGGAAAAGAAGTCCCTTTCTATACAGCTTCTTTGCTCGCCAAATGGGTCTACTTAGAATTGCAGGCCGTCCATTCATATATCTCGCACTTCCCAACTAATTTAATGCAACGTGGGTCAAACTTATATCGAAAATTGACATTGTAACGTACGGATAATATAGTATTCAACTTCACCTTCTTTTACTTTTTATCACCTTCGGTGATAAAAAAAAAAAAAAAATTAAACCTTTGTGGTGTGAACGACAAGTCGGCAAACCCACACTGCCACCGGCTGGATGGTAAGTTCCAGGATGCCGGAGATCGTTATGTTTGGACGGACGTGGTCAGCTGTGTGGACGGAGGTCAATGTTTTTGGGCTCATTAAATAACTAAACAAAATTAAATACTTGCTTATTAAATAAAGATATTGAAGACGGCAAAGCGTGCGGGTTCATAAGATTCTCCATGAAAAAAGAAGAAAAGAAGGACAAGGACACGGCACCTTCTTATCCATCCAAGTTCACTTCGAGTAGATATTATCCTCTTTTACTTTTGTGTTGGATTAAAACGTTTATTTAGAATACGCTCAACCAAGGATTAATTTATTAATAATAAAGCAAACCCACCTGGAATTTGTTTTGTAATTATTATTGTAATTTGAAACCTGGGAAGAAGTAAAGCAGAATGGCATTAATTTTGTTGACAACGAGAAAGGAAAATGAAGTGGGTGTGGTTTTAATCAATACTTAATGCAAAATCTTTTGTTTTGAATGCGTGAAGCTTTCCATTTATTTATTACGGTATTTATTGAGGAAAGGGATGTGGAACAGATCGCCACACCTCCCTTCTCCATTTAATTTTTAAACTAATCACTAACATTAATTACACTATTTACCAAACCCTCTACTAATTTATTTATTTATTTATTTTATCTTTATTTAAAAATTATAAATAGCATCTATCTTAGAGATGATTCAAATCCACTTATCATTAAAGAATCTATACTATTGGGAAAGATATTTTTTTTAATTATCAAACAACCTTTATATCATTGTATGTATGATAAGTCTTTATCTGGCTAAAAATGGTTCATTTTTTAAATATTAAAATAAATAATAATATTAATTTGTCTCCTTCGTGTGTGAGTTAAATAAATATGATTCAAATTTTAAAATATGTTTATGGATTAAAATCGTTAATATTATTTCAAAAGAGTTTAAAAAATACCCTTTAATTTTCACACCGTTTTCAAAAGTTTAATTAATACCTTAAATTAAAAAAAAAAAACTTGAAAAATATATTTGGTATTATGGATGAACTTTCAAAAATAACATATTGAAAATAATTGATAAGACGTGGATCGATGGTTTTTTTGTCCATATGTTGACAACCGTAAGAATTTTTTTAAAACTTTTTTTTACAAAGTTAGAGGATGTTAATACTATTTTTATAATTTCATGAATATTTTATAAACATAGTACTAACGATATCTTTAAAATATTTATAGATATTTTTAAAACAAGATTTACGTTCGGGTTCGGGTAAAATTATGTGAAGGCATATGTGTGAGTGACTAATAGGAGATGATGTGAAGGCATGTGATGTGTTGGAAATGCCTTGTTCCTCAATATTAAATAAAATAGACCATTTCTTGTCCCAATGTTGACTCATAATATATATATATATATATAATACATTAAGCATTTAGAAAAGAAATTAAATGCGTAACTATTGGTCCCACAGTACTATGTATTTTTTTTTTTAAATAACAATAATTTCGTCATATTTATGTCTTTTTGTAAGCTTTCTTTAGACATTCTAATGGGCAATTAAATAAAGGCATTACCCACCAAACAACCTTTTGCTTTACTATGAAGCTTCTCAAAACAACATTATTATTATTATTATTATTGTTGTTATTATTTTTGAATAATGGTGGGTTTAGATAATGTAGCATCTTAATCTAAATGCCTTAATTTCTTATTAAATCATTATATTAAACCTTGAGTTATATGCTCCACAAAGGACATTTGTAATCATACCCTTACCCACCAAATTAAAATAAAGTTGTAAGATGAGTGGACTCTCAACTTTTTGTCTAAATTACAAACTAAATATTGGATTATATTATTTACAACAACCCATTTAAATTAATTAATGAAAAGAATGTGTTAGATTTGGAATGGGATGATGCTTCCATATCAATGTTCCAGTTAATCATACAGGAATGTTCTTCCACTAATAGATTCTTAAGCAAGATTAGCACTGATGTTGTGTAGTTTAGTGAGTTGATGATGATCCAAATCCAAATCCAAATCCAAATCTTACCCATTAAATAAGCTCTTGTGATGAGGAAAAGAGAATATAAAAGATTGTTGCAGAAGGCTCAAGGGCTTTTCATATTATGGTGATTGAAAGTGGCCACTTTTACATATGCTTATACTTCAAAGCTGTGATGTTTTTGATACCCTTTTTGTGAGGCATCATTGCTCCTTTGCTTTTCACTCATCTCCTCTTTACAAGACAAGCTTACGTTGATGTTAAGTCGCCGAAGTTCATGCATCTCATAAAAGAATCGAGCTTGGGGCTTTTTCGGCACTTTTTTTTGTTCGTGTTCTCATTAGAATTGATGGTAAAATTATTGTCTTTACATTGGTGTATAAAACGCGTTTGTTAGGAGAAGGTTTCTACCGATGTGGGATCTCACCATCCACTTCTTTCAAGGTCCAGTGAGAAGATTTCAGGGTCCAGGGTCCAGTGAGGAGGTTTCTACTGATGTGGGATCTCACAATTCACTTTCAGGTCTTAGCATCCTCGTTGGTACTCGCTCCCCTCTCCAATTTATGTGGGATCTCACAATCCACCCCTTTTGGGGGCCTAGAGTCCTCGTTGGCATACCTTTCGGTGTCCACCCCTTTAGGGCTCAGCATTCTCGCTGACACATCGCTCGGTGTTTGGCTCTAATACCATTGTAACAGCCCAAGTCCACCGTTAACAAATATTGCCTTTTTTATTCTTCTCCTTTCTTACTATCTGTCAAGATTTTTAAATCATGTATGCTAAAGGAAAAGAAAGAAAAGAGAAGAATGAACGCTGAATTATTAAGGGTGGGCAAAGAACATCACCCCCCACGTCCCACGATTGTTTGAGCAATCAGAGAGTGACATTACAGTTAGAAATGGTCAGGTTGTCACCCAACTAAGCCATGGATTTGATCACATCACAGAAGCTTTTGCCTCTGGTTTAGAGGACATTTGGAAGGAACATGTTAGGCTAATCACGTGTCTTTAACACACACTTTTTGGTTTCAGATTGGAGGTTAATTTAGTGGTAATCTCTTGTGTTTTTTAGCTCTTTTTTCTTTAATACACCTTTCCATTATGGGACCCAACTCCCTAACCCAATGCCCTGCCACACCCACAAGCCCTTTGGGATTGAGAGGTTTCAATGCATCCACACTTCCTGCCTCTGTTTCCTACTGGGTTCCTTCTAAATTATCTGCTTCCCCACCACTTATGAAAGTTACCATTGTGAAAATCTTTTCCTAACAAATACATTATAAAAACCGTGAAGATGATAACGATATGTAATGGGTCACAACGAACAATATTTATTAGCAGTGCGCTTGGACTGTTACAACAAGCCCTTCAAAACTTATGGCTTTTTTCTCAAGGAAAAAATGGAATAAAAAGGCAGGTACTATGAGGCATTCTACGCTATCACATTGCTGTGTTTGTCCAGCTTTAATTAGAGTGAAAAGGGAGTGGTGTTGTCAATCTTCATAGCCTTCAACTCGATGTCAAGACAGCAAAACCATTTAATCTGGAGTGAAGTCAAACAGATGGGAAAAACTTGTTGAGGTTGAAAGGAAGAGAATAGAATTCTTCGCTTCTTGTATCGGTCTTGAACGAGCGGAATTTATTCCACCACTGCATTCCTCTGTCCTTTGTTGCTGCATTGTCCTTGCTGTGTAACGTAACATCGAGGAACAGAGCCAAAAATCCAGCAACAAATGGCTCGGATGCGAACGGCACGTTGATCATATCATTGAACTGAAACAAGGAGTTCAAAACTGACTAAATGACTGATTATCAAATGGTTTTGATTCTGATATAGAAGTGGTAGGACTGAATCATACCCATCTTGCTTTCGTGTGGACCGGACCGTAACCGTTAACAGCGGTGTACTCATTGAAGTACTGAGGAATTGAGAGCCCCATGAAGATAGAGAAGCCTAATATGAACTTGATCCTAAAACTGTTGAGATTGCAAAACTGAAGGAAGTTAAGGCCAGCTGAACCTGCTCTTGCACCATTGATTTAAACCAGACAAAGTTAAGCATTCTGATGTGAATATAGCAGAGAATTCTCAACTTCAAAAAAACATACCAACATAGGCAAAGAAAAAGCAGTACAGAGCTGCAATTATCGGCACAGGGATTGAAGCGAAAACGGCTCCAAATTTTCCTGATACGCATCCATATCCATAATGTTAGTACAGAGCTAAAAAGATGACAGTGATCAATGGAACATGGACTTCTCTTACCCAGAATGGAAAAGAAAATCATAAAACCAGCAGATATTTGAACCACTCTACGGCTACCGACACGTGTTAATGCTAACAACCCGGCATTTTCACTGTATGGAGAAGTTAAGAGATGGTTCATGATGTTAGAAAAGAAAGACAGGTTAATGAATCAAATCTCTTAGTCTTAGTTGTTGCAGAGATCTTACATGGATACTGACGATCCATTTCCTGTGCCAAATATACCAGAAAACAAGATGGCCACTCCCTAAGTTCATCAGGAAACAGAATAAGAACAAGCAAAATTTTCAAATATATGATTGTTTTGCACATTTTCTCTTGTAGGTAGTCACTTTAAGTACCTGCCAACCGACACCACGGCTAAGAATAGACGGTGGGAGAGGAGTTGCACTAGCATATCTAGACACAGCAAAGAAGGCTCCAGTAGACTGTCACACCCCAAAAACATTGTTCCAAATGTAAGCAATGATGTCTAAGTTTACGACAAATAAATGCTCGTAAGGTCACGAAAATAATGGAAAAAACCTCTACGAGCGCAACAAATGAAGCAGCCATCATTGCAAAAGCTTCTCCAGCATCAAATGTGGGTGCACCCCATTGAAAGGGATATGGGATACTAATCCTATTAACAGTTCGAGTATCAGTTGAACGACGTATTCATGCACATACCGACATTTTATATGCAAACTTTCGAATGAAAATAGAACATGACAGGAAACAGGAGAGTTGATTTTAGTCTTACCATGGAGAACCGCCTATAATTCCTGCACGATCAGTACGACAGCTTAGTTGAGTCTTTACACCCACATTCTTATATGCACCACCTACAGTGAGTAGGTGAGCATACATCCAAACAATCAGAATTGAAAATATAACAGCAAAACGGTCGAATACGTGTCTTTCGCCATTTATCAAATGAGGTATATACTGCAAAACAATTTAGATTCTACGTTTAATAAGATCCAAATCTTATCTTGAGCGAGCGAGATCAAAAGCGAAATTACTCGAAGATCCTTCAGTCATGATTGGTGCTTGAAAGATTTGCTTGTACCTGTGAGAATACCACCAGAAGGATGAGCTGTGGAAGCCCAATCTCCACACATTTTGACAGCTACAAAACAAACAAGAACATGCTGTAAGAAGAAAGAGACTTGTAGAGAGAATTGAGATGATAAATATTATACAATTCTTCAGTTTCCTTCGAACAGTTACAAAATACATACCACTGGGAAACCCAATTCATATAACCCAAATCCTGACAAGGCCACCAAAGGAACAGTAGAGAGTGGGCTCAATAACCTGAACAAGTACAAAAGAGCATGCTTTTGGATTACAAGAGTCAAGAAGAGTTAAGATTGAAACTCACTGTACAAGGATTTGCACCCCCTGAAAAGCTTCATAGAAGTACAACAGGCTAAATACAAACCTTGCAACATTTCGCCAAAGGCCGCTAAAACCGACGACTATCTGAAGAGTTGAGGCAACAATGAGGGCACCCTGAATTCCACGCATAATTTTCTCGAATTTCTGATATACATTACGGATCGGATAAGTCAGAGTTATCTCGAGTTCAATGAGGACATGAGAGTGAGATTGTAGCAGATGATATCAATCAACAAAGTTACCTCCTGGGGATTCACAATATCGCTATATCGACCAGCCAAAATGATTGAAATTGTTGTTGGCACATATGAGTAAGACGCTCCGATTACTGCAGGTAAACGAGTACCAAAAAACGTTTGGAGCAATGTGTTTAAGCCAGCAACAAAAAGCAGTGTTTGGATCATCTTTGCTTTCTCCTCCTGAAATGAATTCTTGCAGTAATATAATTGAGATTCACATTTAACATTCATCAAGAAACAAGAAATAATTGTAAGCTTACATTTCCTCCTCCCATTTGGGGAACCAGAGAGGTTGGAATTAGCACTGTTGTTCCCAGCATGACCAAGTAATGTTGGAAACCAAGTAGAATTGCTTCGGCTGCATTTCAAATTTAGAACAATAGAGGTTAGAATATACAAACAAATAAATATGGATATAAAAACATTAGAGGACAAACTTGAAGTGAGGTTTGAAGATCAAAACCTCACTAAAAAGCTAAATATTCTTCTTAAGAACAGCTATGTATTTAACAATGAGGTAAGGAAAAAGTGAACACTTGAGGAACTTACGCCATGGAGGAGGACTGGTTATGCAATATGAAACATTTGGTAGCTGCTCTCTTACTGGATGTGGCTGCAGCTCCTCCTGTTTCGGCGGTGGTGCAGACGTTCCACCTCCTGCCATGCTTCTTTTTCTTCTCCTTCCCCTCTTCTAAATAATCCACTGCTCTGATCCCAAGTATTGTCTTCTAATGTTATAAATAAAAACTCAAACTTCTTGAATTCTTAAAACCCAAGAAGTACGAACATAAGGCAAAATACCAACAGGTCAAACTTCCAGATCAAAGTTATGTCTTTATCCCACACGAAAACCAAGAAATACAACACCAAAATCAAACAGGAGCCAAAGTTTCAGAAGGCAAGCATTGGAGTGAAAGAACTTGGAAGAAACTTGGGAGTGTGAACATGGAAAAATGAGTTTTTACAGCTCAAAACTCACTTGGGTTTGTAGGACATGGAAACATAAAGGTGAATTAGAGATATGAAAAGAAGCAAAAAGAGTGATACCTCTCTTGGAGTAAGAAAGAAACCATCACGCCTATCTGTAACCTAAAGCCAAAAAAGCATCCTAGTTCGTTAATAAAGATGAAGTCTTGTATTAAAAGCTTTCCCCACCATCTACTCTGCGAATCTATGCACTTAGTTTAAGCAATTACCCTCTACTTGCTAAAGAAAAAACAACTTCTTTGGAGTTCAGATCATTCAGCTCTGATCTTTTCTTGTTTATCATACCAAAAAAAAGAAAAAACATCCCGAAGTATCAAGTTTCTGATGCTTCAAGTCTCACAGAAAATAAGCTTACATGCGTTATGAAAATGGCTCTTGAGACTTTATCCTCTTGCCATGTATTGTCAAATGCAGACAGGCCCTCTTGCCTGGAGACTTGTTTCAGCGACTGAGATTGCAGCAGGCCAGCGAGGATTCTGGTTTGCATTCACCAATTACAACAATTCATAATATAACAAAAATTCAAACCCATGTGTAACATTTGGCAGTAACACACCCTCCAAGAGCAGGTTCTCTGGAAACTAGATGAATTGAGTGAGATTGTATCGGCCCAAGAGATATTGCCCTTTTAAAAATGCATCTGATAGAGAGAAGTTTTCACACCCTTATAAAGAATGTAACGTTTTCCTCCCAAACCAATGTGAGATCTCATAGATTACATCCCAATTTAAATTGGTTTATCATTGTTTTGTAAGTTAATTTTTCGATTCAAACATAAAATTCTGCTAATGACTCGAAAGGATCAGTATCAAATTCCTTATTTTGGTCAGTGGTGTCAACTTAAAAGAATACGATTCCATTAAAGAAAAATCAATGTTAATGAGTGCCTACAAATCAATTTTAAGAGGTCTTTTCTTTGAATGCCTTCAAAGTCGGCCGTCCTTGTGGGGGGAAAGGGCAGATAAAATGATATCACTTTATTCCCTGAACTAGATGGCCCAAAAACCTTTCTTTCCATTTCCAAATATCACAGCGTAAGGCTTAAGAATTAGCTTACCAAATTCAAAAGAGGAATAAAGAAGCAACCTATAATGGGGCCATTAGTAAAAGTAAAGGACATCATAACAAAGGGGGAAAGAAAGGGTATGATACCAAGTACCCTGTTGAAGCTTCCATCTGAAAAATGTAATTTCACAAAATTTTCTCTACTCTAACTAATGAGAATGAAAGAGGAGCAGATAACAAATATAGAGATGATCTTAAGCCTCAAACGATATCAATGTCTGGTGATTAGACGCCCAGCGCATCAATTACGTCAAACACGTGTTCATGATGTTTGATAGTAAACACAAAAAAGTTGAGAGGTAAGACATTATGGTTGAATAAAAGGTGGGCAGTTATTACATCTGACTTTGCTCATTTCAAATTTGATAGATTGCAACAGAGCAAATCTTGGAAACCTTAAACATGGACACCCAAAAAGCTTTGCCAGGGTGTGTCCAGTGCAGTCCATAAACAGGAAAAAATCGACCACCAGAAGTCCAGTAAACATAAAAACTTTGGCAACAGATTAGGTACCACTCAAACACTAAATCCCTTCATGATTGCTGACATGGAGATGCCTCTAAAAGAGATTGTACCTTCCCCTCATTAGCAAAAGGCTCGGTACAGTACCGGTAATCGCCTATCACCCAGAAAAGAAGGATAAGGATGAATAACCATCACTGACCACCACCTCCGCGAACTTGCAACCGCTTCCTCTCCAGTTCAAGCTTTAAGAGAACAAAAGAATGTACAGGTAAAGAGGTTTGTGCAAGGCATTGCAAGGAAAGAAGTTAAAAGCTAGTAATATTCATGGTTAAGAACATTACTAATAGATGCTTACCACTTTCTTCACCCGCTCATTGGCAGCAGGGGTGCCTCCAGAAACAGATTCTGGTAGATAGGGACTGCTAACACGTACTTCATTCATTACAACTATCACAGTCTTGTCCCAGCGAACAGGAAGCCTAGGATTGCACTGATCGCCTTAGTCAGAATATCAAAACAATAGTGCAGAGTCTACGAAGTAGAAAAATTATACAGCTGAAACAGCAAGAGAAAATGATCAATACTATAGAAAGTTTAAGATTAAAGCCTATCACGATTCGTTTCGGTAGCATCTGAAATTCTGTATGAACATGCCTCACAAAATTAGATCATCAGATGAGCTTACTTGGGTTTGCAACCCCACCAGGTGCCCAAACCATTCTCTAATTTTTAGACTCCATAACAGGAGAAAAAGACCAGGCAGGGCTGAAAAATTAAGTTTTTAAAATACCTAATTGAACTTAAACTAGCATAGTCATTCCAACTTCAAATCAAGGAACTTGCATCACAATAATACCAACTATGACTTTGGCATTGGGAATGACAAAAGTAAATAAGTTCCATAAATGTTGGAAAGCAATTATATGTAAAACTACTCTAGTGGTGCTAGTATACAACTATTACGGCATTCAAAAAGTTTGGACCAAGAACAATATCATAGGAACCAAAAGATGTAAGAACTACCATACGTAGTTTAGGGAAAAAAGTAAAGCCTTAATGTTATATCATTCAAAGACTTCTTAAGAGTTATAACATGATTTCTTTGTTTTCCATTACCCCAGTAACACTGAGGCAAATGTTCAGAGAGAAAAAAGTACTATGCCGACCGACTTGGACAACGATATTCATATTTCAATGCTCCTAAGAGAATGAATCAATTCCATCTTGTCTATTGTGAACACAATAGGAAATATATGGCACAATAATGCACCGTGGTCCTTTGAAGATAAGTGATATGTAACAGCCCAAACCCACCACTAGCAGATATTGTCCTCTTTGGGCTTCCCCTCAAGGTTTTTAAAACGCAACTGCTAGGAAGAGGTTTCCACATCCTTATAAAAAATGTTTCGTTCTCCTCTCCAACTGATGTGGGATCTCACAATCCACCCCCTTAAGAGCCCAGCATCCTCACTGGCACTCGTTCCTCTCTCCAATCAACATGGGATCTCACAATCCACCCCTTCGAGACCAACGTCCTCGCTGGCACTCGTTCCTCTCTATAAACCATGTGGGATCTCACATGATAACTAGCCAAAGATATTAAAACATCAAGCAGACCATTATCAGACTTCCTAGTTATCATCAATACCTTAACAACGTCCATAAAAGTGCCATAAACTCATGAGAAATATTGGTTCCATGATCCAATTACTCATCACAATAATCAAAATATTTTCCATTCCATTGTAACATAAGCTTTTAAAAAAAACTTCAAGAGAAGAGCTGCAGGGAGTGATTCCGTTCCATTGTAACCAATGCCCGCTTGCAATGACCCGTAAACAAGTTTGCCAGCCCAACACACATAAAGAAACATATAAGCGCATTCATGGATTCTCTTTATGTGAAACCAATAGGAAAATTTTGCATGACAAAGAAAACTGATAAAATTGCCACATGTTACATAAATGCGTGGACATGGACTAAAAATAGTAGAAAATAAATCTTCGTGATTCAAATAAATCGAAATATACTTTCCAAATATTCCTACCAACAGAGTACAACTAAACTTACGTTTTAGACAAGGCGTCAAAAATACTTTGCGCCTCGCCGGTCACACCCACTCCTATTCTCTCCGCCTCTATTTCTGCTTGCCTGCAAAACCCAGTACGACCAAAGGAGAAACAGAACATGTAATTGAACAGAAACAACTAAAATCACGATTAAGCAACGAAAACCCACAAAAATTTAGAACAGATTATTGAGGTACCTAATGGCGAGTTCCTCTCTAGCACGGAGAGTATTGAGATCAAGGCAACAGTTTTTGAGATCAAGAGGATCTTCCCCATGTCCCAAAAACGAAAATTCTTTAATATAATTGGCTTTCAGCAGCCTTATGTTCCTACGAGGTCCTGGTTTCGAACCTTCCTGTATCAATCGAAGACAAGGAGAACAGAAACGAAGTTAAGGAATTCAAGAAACCAGATTGATAAACACAAAAAGCTAGAAACCCAGAAAGGATATGAAGGACGAGGATGTTGGAGGGGCGGTCAAAGGTAATGACTTGTGCTTGAAATTCATCCCCTAAGGTCGTCTTGATTGAGAAGAATGACCCAACAGAGAAGTCATCCCCATTGCCGCTGTCCAGTGCCATTTTCTCCTTCCTCTTCTACAAAAATTGAACAGTTCTTCCTCCTCCTAAAGGAGTTGGGTAAGACTGAATTCTCCAATCTTCATCTCAATTAGGGCTTTTCTTTACACTATTTTATTTCAAAACACTAATATAAAATAACTCTACTTATCTAATTATTAATCACGTGTTTAAATATGTAAATACATTTTTATTTTCAATAATTACAAAAAAAAAAAAAAAAAAAAAAT